AGATTCGTGATTTGATCTGTTGCTGCATCCAGATGGGTACATTTATGATGTATTCCATATTTATCGCACTTATTATTTCGTGTAATGTTTCTTTTGAAAATTATTGTATGCATGAGAACTCTAGTCTAAGTGTCCCGAACAATAGTTCCTTTGATGAATGCGAATGCAGTAGGAGGTCACCTGCCCGTTGTATCTGGGAGGGACGCCCCAAGCCGTTGTATCCGGAAGGGGAAAAACATCTCTGCTGTCTCTTGGAAAGGATCCTATGAACCGTTGTATCCGGGGGTGGGAAGGTTTCCAGTTACAGCCATGCCGTTGTATCCGGAAGGTTGTTGTATGTACATAGGAGGTTTGCGATAGGGCCGGGTAAGGGGTTTAGGCTATGGATTCTATGCATACTCATACCGATTACTGATATTGTATACTGTGGATACTGCTTTTAAAATTATTATACCGCATAATTGTGAGATAATTGTGAGCTAGATGGTTGTTCACCCCCATTATTTTCTTTGTTGTCTTTTCTCTTCCTTTGATATAGGTTGAGACGAGCTGGAGGCGGTGGCGTAGGACGAGCGAGATGGTGGTCAATTGTGATGATTATCTTATGCTTCCGCATGAACTTATTTCTTATCTATTTGCTTTCATATACTATGGATTATTTATTGCTTTCGTTTCGAACTATGTTTAAGTTGGTTGAACCTTGAATCATGCTAGACCTTTTTGAAATGGTTTTGAGACTTATGTTTTATGGGATTTGTTATATCGTTAGTTCGAGCATGTGTAGGTTCTTTGAATTGTTGGATGTGTGTTGTTTGTTGTTGTTAGTAAGTAGCGTCCGTTTCTCATTAAATATTTTTAATTTGGATTTAAAAAAAAAATAACTCTGATTTTTGTTAAATAAATTCGGTAAATTCTTTAAAATAAAATGGGGCGTTACAACAGTGGATTAAACTACTCATGCAAAATTGAGTTATGCAAATATGTAATCCAATTTATGGTTGAGGGTGAACAAATGTAATTCACACGAGCCTTAAAAATTCAAACTTTACACAAGAACGAGTTAAACGTGGGCTCTGATAACACTTTTTTGGATCTGTGAGGATGTTGTAATTGTGCAAGTCATGAATTAATCTACGATTAAACCTATGCGCAGCAGATCTAAAGTTTAACTTAAAAAACCTACAACTAAAAATTTCACAGACTCTGAGACGTTGTAGATTTTTGTTGATGGAGATCGTCTGATTTTCCACTCGCCGAAAATTGCTTCTTAGGATGTCTCGGAGTCACCGGGTTCATTGCGCGGGTCGGATAAGGTCACGCGGGTGTGCGTCATGCATGTCCGGATGTGTTGCAGATGCGTTCGGCATCGTTGGACGGGAGCAGGTTGCGTGCGCTCTCGCAGGTCGCAGGCGTGCAGCGTGTGGGAGCGGGTCGCTAGTGTGCAGTGTGCGGGAGAGGGACAATGGCGTGCAACGTGCAGGAGCGGGACGCTGGAAGCAGGTCGCGCTGGGCTCGTCGGGTCGCGTCGGGCGATGCACGGTGGTCGACAGTAGTTAGGTGCTCGGCCGGTGGTGGATGGGTGCTCGACTACCTTGAAGACTTCTATTGAATATCCTAACACCTCTAGAACTCCCTTGGTGGGAAGGAGACTCTAGATCTTACTTAAGTCTAAAGTGTATGGATTTCTTCCAAACATAACAGATGTGATGTATTTATAGACTTCAATAGGAACTCTAAGGAGGCATTAAATTGTGCTCCCCGTACATGGGCCTAATTGTGAGTCAAGCCCACTTTGCTCATATACTAAATTGAGCTCATTTACTAAAGTAGTATTATTGAAACTCCCAATTTAATTTTCAAATTACAAATTGAGTTTCGATTCTAAATTACTTGAATTATTTCTCTAAGTTTAAGATATAATAAACATGATATAATGCCCATCAATCGATTCGATTATTGACAATCAAATCAATGATATCTTGTGCCGAAGCTAGCACTACTCAATATATTATTATTATGTCAGAACTTAATCCACCTGCAGGGTTTAACATAATAATCTTTCCGAGCTCACTTTTGAGACATCATCAGACCTCAACCATCTGAAGTACATGGTGACCGTAAATATTTTAACAACGCACCATGTCATGCAACATTACTACCCAACTCAACCAATTATTGATTTAGACAAAATGAACCTCACCGTGATAGATCAAAATAGTAACTACTAAATACATATGTCTGTTTATATCTTATAGGTTGAGAGTACGTAGTAATTAGTCGAAGCCTAGTTCGTTTATGGCGATTAGTATAAAAGGAACTGCTCCTCTACGGGATCCGTTTAATACACTTGTACTAGTGCAATTAATCAATCAAGACCAACTGTATCGTTCACACTACAGCCGTCCCGATGGCTTGTTCAATTTCAATCTAGGTTGTGAACTAATTTTCTTATGTTTCGCAAGTCACTGATAAATGATCTTCTGTCCATCTGTGATGAACTATTTATCTAAATGCAAAATAATAGAACACACAAAACTTGTTTAATCAATCATACATTCTCATTCAACATAAATAGGGCAAGCTTTCTATATGCATACTACATAAGATTCACGAATTTCTCTCTTGTGGGATACTGAAAAACGTGTAGAATATTTAACAGAAGGAGGCTTGGGACTTGGTATATTTATAGTTTACAACAAGAACCCCAAGGAGGTGCTAAATTTGGGTTTCCAAGTGTGAATACTCCTAGTGGACCTTACCCAATTTTTCATTAACACTTGAATAATAGAACATTCGAGTAGAGTAATATTATATTATTATTGCACTTTCCATTTAACTCCGAATTACAAATGATTCGTCTCTCAGCTTAATTGCTCGAAGTACCTTCCTATGTTTAAGATCTAACGTCCGTTGATTAATTTATTTGTTGACCTTCTCATGTTTAAGATCTAACGTTCGTTGATTAATTTATTTGTTGACAATATAATTAACCAACTTCTGTATACGAAACTAGTACCACTCAGTTCTTTATTATTATGTCAAGAACTAATCTGCCTGCAGAGCTTAACATGATAATCCTTACTGAGTTCATTTGGAGGACATCATCAACCTGACGGACCAGGACACAACGACTGTAAACAGTCTTAACGGCATATCATGTAAACAACGCCACTTACCAAAACACCAAGTATGTCAACCTTACAGAATAGGTATCACTCTTGGTAAATCAAACAAGCAAGTGTTGAATACACATGCCCGTTTATTGTCTTACGGGTTAAGAGAACGTAACAATTACTGAGAATTAGATTATTTACTTGTTCAGTATAAAGTAATTTTCTCCTTCTGTAGGTTCGTTCAATACATTCGATATGTACTAGTGTAACTTGTTAGTCAAAGATCAACTAACTCGAAAATCACACTACAACGTTTCCCGACATGTAGTTCAATTATGTCTAGGCTATGAACAAATATTTATATTTCACAAGGCACCGGTAATATGATTTTTCTGTTTGACACATCGAACCAAATTATTTATAATGTAAAATAAATGAACTATGCTTGTGTTGATACCCAATTTGGCTCCGATTAATTAAATGATAAACGAAACAATATAATACAACCCAATAACTAAGGATATACAAACAGGTTCTCAAGACTAATCAACCGAAAGCCGATCGGATCCCTCGGTGTCATGTCCGCCTGCTGCCAAGCCGCACAAAGTTCAAAGTAATCGAATGGCCCGCATATCATGAAGAAGCCACCTTCGGATCGCCGAGAAGACGAACGTCAATTGGAACCGTCAAAAGTCATAAGCCGGCCCCACGATGATTATCTCATATTAAATAATGATGTACCATTTTTACTTATTGAATAACCCACTTGCAAAAAGTAGTAGGGTATATATATGTAAAAAAGAGGAGAGAGGGGGGGTCTTCTCCTTATTCTTCTTCCTCCTACAACCAAGAGAGAGAGAAACACTCTTCTAATAGCATAAGAAAACACCATACTCATTTATTTTTGTTCTTCATTTTCATTCAACAATTCGATTTATATTTAACCGTTGACCGTCCGATTTTCAACATCAACAGCTTGCATAAATAAATAAACTGCAAACATACATTTGACTAAAATACAAATCTCATTCAAAATTATATTGTCAGAAACTAAAAATTGAGCTTTTACAATATACCCTAACATGGGCAACGTGGGTGCCATGGACAGACTTGGCAGCGCATGGCGGGGGCAACGGCAACATCCAGCAAGTCCCTTCGGCGACAGATCAGGTATGATGTCGTTTGGGTGGAAAAGCTCTCGAACTTGAATATATCAAGCTCGCGTCGCGCCCCACATCATCGCTCGTGCTAGCCAGTGATCGTGTTGCTCTCCAGCATTCGAAACACCTCCAGCGAGTCCTTGGGCCGGTCTTATTCCAATTTGGCATTTTTTATTATTATTTTAATTATATATATATATTTTTTTAATTTTATCCAAGTGTTGGGTACACTTGGAAGTGCATGTATCACATCAAGTCGAAAAATCACCACTAGGATCGAAAAGGCGCCACATCAACATTTCCCACAGAAATGAGTTGAAATCTCGATTTGGACGAAAATTGCCAAAAGTATAAAAAATAGTGTATCAAACCTAAACTCGAAACAAATAAAAGAAGAAAGTACAATTCCAATAAAAATAGTGGACAAAATGTGTAATTTTTCCTTCCAAATATCAATATCACAGCTTCTAACTGCAGATATTTAAAAATAAAATTAAACTAAGTCAAGTCCAAATTATGTTCCATGCGTCATGATGTGCGGATCAAATTCTGAAATAAATAATTAAAATTAAATTATTAAATGTGAGATCAAGAGCAAACAGGCAGATCCATATATCCCCCAAGGCTTGACAAAGGGCCAGGATATCCAAATATTTTATTTCATTCAAGATTCTTTAGGATTTTCACTTAGTGTTAAAAAATAAATAAATAAAATAAAAATATAAAATATAAAACCCAAGCCAGGATATCCTAATATTTTATTTCACTCAAGATCTTTAGGATTTTCACAACAAAAAATAACAATTGAATAAAACTATGAAGGAAAGCACAATGAACAAGGAAAATCTTGCAGATTCTATTCTGGGATTTATCTAATCTGTTGATATCTTATATGATCTCTTTCACACATTCAAAAAACAACTTTATATAATTACTTAAACTCCTCTCATCAACATCACCAACCATTCATTCAAGCCTTCCTCAATTCTTCTCCCAAACTCGCATTCGATTTCTTCAACTATTTTGTATACCTCAAATATCATCTGAATATTTGGAGAATGAGTGGATTAGGTCAGGAAATGCAGTTTCATGTCCTTGCCGTTGATGATAGCATAATTGACAGAAAATTGATAGAGAGGCTATTAAAGACTTCTTCTTATCAAGGTACTTGATTAATACATTTTATTTTTTTCATGTCAATTTTTATTGGCTANTTTTGGTTGTGTTTTGCTTATTCATAGTGTTTGTTGTATGATATAATCTGCAGTTACTGTTGTGGATTCTGGAGTTAAGGCTCTTGAATTTCTAGGATTGCTTGATAACGATGACACAAATTCAAAATCTGTCTCTCAACCCAGGAGTAATCATGTATGATTTTATACTTGTATTCCATTTGATCTTTTTATTCAAATATTGAAACGTGTTTAGCTGATGGATCAAAGTATAAATTGCAGATAGTGGATTTGATAATAACGGATTACTCCATGCCAGCTCTAACTGGTTACGATCTTCTCAGAAAAATAAAGGTAAGCAGTTTATCAAACCTTTTTATCTGCAAATTAAGCACTACACTAGTATATATATTCCGATTTCGTTTATATTAACAAAAAAGGTATGTAAAGAGATTTCGATTTTGTTTTTACAGGAATCGGAAATACTGAAGGACATTCCTGTAGTGATTATGTCATCGGAAAATATTCCGTCAAGAATTAACAGTTGTTTGGAACAAGGGGCTCAAGAGTTTTTTGTAAAACCAGTTCAACAATCAGATGTCAATAAACTTAGGCCGCATTTGATGAGATGCCAAAAGGAATTTATTATGCCTGAGGTCAGAGTACATTAGCAATCTGATAGATAGGATACTATTGGTGTATTTTACATCAAGTTTTGAGTTGAGTTTCCTACTTTTAGCTTTGTCCTGTTTTTGGCAGGATTTACTTTGATAGGTTACTGTTGATTGAATATCAGTGTGACATTCTGTGTAAATATATTTACAAATGCACACAATGTATGGTTGTGCAAATCGAAATTTCTGATACTTGTGTAAAAATTGCCAGATATTTCTATTGAAGTAAGGCGCTTATAATAATAAATCCTCGGTTTTCAGGATGAAATCGAGTGCTGCTGTGCTGATTCTTTTAGGATCTGATTAATATTCGAGGACATAAAAATGAAGGAAATGAGTTTGGCTTTTTTTTTAAAAAAAAAAAAAAAAATCACTAGGCCAGATAAATCCCACGCAGGAATTCCAACACTAACCTCACATCCTCTGTAAATTGGAGGCGCGATTCAATTTTTAGGAGTTAAACAATTGCGATTTTTTCAAATACTGATTTAAATTAGAAAAGCCTAAATTATCATAATTGTTTGAGATGCAATACCCCTTATATATAATTACCGAATGTGTTGAATTAAGTGGCAAGCTTGCATACTTGGGATCCTATGTGGAATGGCACAAGAGTGCTTCATAGATTTTAATTTAGTTTAAATTTAAAAATAATTAATGTCATTACCTTCCACCTAAAGGATAACCAATGACTCTTTCAAAGTTCGTATCCCTCATTCTCGGGCGAAGCCGAGGGATACGTTCCCATACCCAAACCTAAAGATATCGACATATTCATTTGTTATTAAATATTAGTCTAAATTAGAAAAAAAAAAAGTTGAATTTTGAAATAACAAGTAATTAAATGTACCTGAATCAATTGGACACAGCTCTTGATCCAGCCTTCCCCGGTCTGGTAGCTTGTGCACAGCGCTCTATACACTGCGGCCAGGAGCGCCAACCCCCAGCTGTACTCCTTGACCTTATCGATGTCGCGCAAGAGCTGGGTCCAGTACAGGTTGACTCCACAAGCCCTCTGATCGGGAAAGACGAAGGATCCAAGGCACCAGAGGATAAGGGCCCTCGCCCTCTCTTCGTAGGCCGTGATGTCTTGTCCATCTTGCAGCACTCTATTGCATTCGTTATCTAATCTCGAGTGCTTCAGATACTGGCCTACAATGCCCCAAGTTTTGATGTTGACTTTCGGGTCGTCTGCTTCCTGAGAGTGGTTTATATACATTAAAAACCAAACAATGGATTATACATAAACAAACAAAAAATAAATAAAAAAAATATTGTGTTAAAAAATTTACCTGGGGGTCAAACCCTACAAGCTCCACACACTCATCTCGCCATTGTTGGTTTGTAAAATCTGCAGTCTGTCCCCAGCAAGGATTTCCATCTACCGGGAGACCAAACAGGACTTGTACGTCCTGGAGCGTGATTGTGGCCTCTCCGAAATCAAAATGGAAGGTGTGCGTCTCCGGTCGCCACCTTTCCACCAGACAGGTAATTAAGCTGTTGTCGGTCTGGACTCTGCCCATTCGAAACAACGGCCCAAAACCCGTCCTATCGATCACCTCTAAAACTGTGGGATGTTATTTGTCCAACACCTTCCAAAATTCAGTGTCGTTACGGTGGTTTTTAATGGTGCCGTTACGACATCCCCGTAAATCTTCATATACCGCTCTCGACCGGAGGCGGTACTGAAGGTATAAAAGGGAGCGATCAATCGGACCGGGGTGTACATTCAACCGCTGAGGTTGTGACGAGGACGATGATGCCATTTTCTACAAAAACCAAACAAACAAAATTAAAAAAAAAAAAAAACAAATTGACAAATCATATTCACAATAAATTCACATTAAAATTATATACAAGAATAAATTCACAAATAAATGGCATCATCAACAGTGATCGGGATTACCACATCTAGACCTATCGGTGGGAGGATGTGAGGACGGACACTCATCGACAACATGATCGGGATTACCACATCTGGAACACTGTCCCCTATCATTCCTGCGGCGCGCCCGACGATCCATTTGCATGCAATAGCGTCTCGTTTGCTTGCGACCGGGTCCAGGCTTCAAAATCATCCTCTCCCAATGTGGTATCAAATTCCATCCCACCGGGGCCCATGTATCCGCAGTACCAACTGGAGCAAAACCCCAATTAGTAAATTGAGCTACCCAAGTTTCCGTCCAAAATGCATTATCGTACAACGACTTTGGATCAGTCCTGATTTGACGAGCTACAGCTATTGCATGAGTCCACGGTTTCCTGTGTGTCTGCCACTTCAGACAACTACAATGTTTCCGGGGGTAATTAACCTTATAGCTGTTAACACAAACAATGATTTATATATATAAACATCCAAATATTTGAATGGAAAAAAAAAAAAAAAAAAAAAAAAAAAACATATTCCTGGTTAGCCCTCTCCCACTAGCCCGAAGACCGGTTTTCACCCTGTACCTGGACATTTCGGCGTTCACACATTTCACCTGATGAGTTGCGGCTGTACGCTCCAATTCCAAATAGGTGTTATAGTGCTGAGTAGCAATGGGACTCATGCATCTCGTGGCCTTCCTTTGTTCCTGTTCGAAGAAATCCAGAGTTTTTTCCAATGTGGCATGTACCAAAGCTCTGCACGGCAGGAATCTAACGCCTATCAAGACGTTGTTGTAGCTCTCTGACATATTGGTCGTCAATGTGCCCCATCTATGTCTTCCTTCATCTCCATACAGGGTGCACTTGTTCAAAGGAATATCGAAAAGGTACTTGTGTGCCTGGAGATTAAATTCCAACAGTCGCTGTTCTGTCGTTCGAAACTTTCTCTCCGACAACTGCGAACCCAAATCCCAACACCAATCACGCACTTTCCTATTCCTAAAGATAGTGACCACGTTGCTTCGAAGGTGTCGAAGGCAAATCCGGTAATATGCAGCGGGTTCTTGACTTCCTGTTTTGTGTTGAAGCAATGAGGACATTGCCTCATTTTAAGTGTGGGGGAGTTATTCGGATTTTTGCATGCTTATATGGTGGACCGGTCTAGTTTTAGGTTTTTGTATTGTTGAGCATGTGGTATTGGTGAATTATAGGATTTGTTGATGAATGTCTGATAAAATTAGAAAGTTGTGATGACGGTTGTGTTGATCATTGCCTCGATATTTGCTTGATTGCTTTGAGTGACATTTATTTACCTTGTTTTGATCCTTACTCTTCTTTCTTATGAGATATTAGTCATATTCTTGAATGATTAGAACTTGCCTTGAGTTTGTTTGAAAGGAATCGATTAGAGTTTGAAATTGCGAAAGTGATTGAGGCTTTTTGTTTGATTAGCTCTTTTTAGCCTTGTTCTTTGATCCTAAACGTTATTATCCCTAGTAGCCGTTTGAGCCTTGAGCCTTTTCTTGTCAGCCATGCATATAATGTATTTTGTTGACTGATTTTATGATGATTGGTGAAAATGGTGTCGTTGTTGAATGAGGTGAATTGGAGTTGGATTTCTATTGCTTGACCTTAAAAAAAAACAAAAAAAAAACAAAAAAATAAAAACATGAGAACTCACAGGGCGAATCGAATGGATTATGCTCCTCTTACTAGTCGATTCATTTTGACAGGTAATGAGCATTAGGAAACTACTGTAGGACACTTGGATGACCTCCAATGTTTAAACCTATAGAATGTTGTCCTTTCGATTCGTTGTTGTTCGAAAAAAGTTACTCTTCAAAAAAAAAACAAAAAAAAAAAGAAAAATAAGGTTAAGTGACGATGTTGCAACTTGTTCTGAGCATCTATGTGTTGTTTGTGGAATGTTGGTTGGGTAGTAAGTGTTTTGTCTCGTTGATTCCGGATGAGTAGTGGAATGCTTGAGTATACTCGAGAACCCTGATTGAATATTTGAGCTTCTTGTCCTTATATATATCCATACCTTGAACCAAATAGCCTACATTACAACCCGTGAAGTCCTCTTGATTCGCAAGTTTTGAGCTTTGATTGTTTCTGAGTAATTTAAACGATTGGCAAGTATATATTGAAACTTGAATATTGACCAATCTGAGCGAACCTATCATATATTCATGTAAAAGAATGAGTGAGGCATACACTAATATTACTGTGTGTGAGAGTTTGTCATTTCGAGGCAAGTTGATATTTGAGGCATATGGTCGTACGATCGTTGGAATTCAACCCGGTTGAGTTAAATATTTCTGAGGCTCTTCTTGTATGAAACCGTATTTATGCTCAGGTCTTGTTTTCTTTTATTTTTATTCGGGACGAACAAAGGTTTAAGTATGGGGGAGTTGTTTGTCCCATTTTTGTTTCTATTTTTGTTTATGTTTTGCGTGTTTTTTCCCCCGTTTTAGGTCGTTTCTTAGGTGTTACCGGTCCGTCTAGTCGTTTCTCGTGTTTTACCTTTATTTTGATGTGTTTTGTATTTTCTTTGCCTTTATCTCTATTTTCCTTGCTTTTCGTGTTGTCTTCCGGTTTTGGTGTTTCAGGTCGTTCCGGTTCCCAAGTGTTTCGTTCCAGTTCGTGCCACCAAACAACAAAGGATTGACTTTCTAGCTCGGGAAAGACCCGAGAGATGTTAGCCGAGAGTCCACGAGCCCGGAAAACTAAAAATCAGAAGCTGCCCAGACTCTAGCGCCGCTAAGGGGTTAGCGGCGCTAAGGGTGTAAAAACTAGCGGCGGTTTGGCTTAGCGAGGTGCTAGGGACGCCAGAGACTTCACAGCAAAAAAAAGGGGGTTAGCGGCGCTAAGGGGTTAGCGCCGCTAAGGTCTATTTTTAACTAATCGCGTTTTTTGTGGGTTTTGAATTGGGAAGGCTACTAGTTCGAACCTAAGGCATATTTTCAGTACTCTCAGACTTTGTACTCGTTTTTCTTCATGGCAAAACATATTTCTCTCATCTTTTCTCTTAGTTTTGATCTTGGATAGTGAAAACTCCAAGATTTTACCCTTGATTTGGATTGCTCGTTGTTTTTCGACATTAGATTTATTATTAATCGTAAGCTTCTCTTTCATTTCATTGATGAATGTTATGGCTTTGCTTGATATGAATGTTGATGTTGAATTTGTGATGAGTAGCTAATTCCTTCTGCTAGGGATAGGGGATGATTATTCTTGTTTGATTCGTATTTGTCGGGCTTGATTTGTTCATGCTTATGTGAGTTGATATAATTCAGAATTGATGAATTTGTGCTTGATTGATTGACATAATCGAAGAGTGACACTTCGATCTTGCGATTGGAAACAATTGAATGTTAATTTGTCGAGTTAGGGTTTGTCAAT